CATGGAATCACACATTCTGGATGGTCGTGAGAGGCATTTCATGGGCGACATGGACGAGGGTTGTGTGATGTCATCATATGCTATCACATTCTGTCTGCCTCCCATCTCTTGTTTCAATTCGCATGTGTGGTTTGAACGTGTGAAAGAATTTGTGTGGTGTGTTCTGGAGTTTGGGAATGTGTTTTTGCGTTATTTTTGTTTGAGCAGGTATTTGTGATGATAGATCTTGAGAAGATCTTTCCGACGCAACAAGAATCGCTTCACTCGGAGCAAGAACGCGAAAGCTATGAAGATTCAAAGTTCATGAGCTTGCGTTACAATTGCGGCGGTTACAAAGTGAAGTTGTGGGGTGACTCTATATGGAGTTGGGACCTTTGGGGTTGGGGAAATTTGTCACTCTACTGTAACAGCTGCAAATTGGTTGGGAACAACCAAGCTAGGTTGGCAAGGGTGGCCAACTTGGATGGATTGGTTGGGAAGGGACAAATGTCAAAGTTGGGGTTCCTATAGGGAGGGAATCTTTGTGCTTATGGGGTTTCCTTGGTTGGGGACTCTCTTGGGACCTTCCCTCTCATCCCTCTCTTCTATCCCAACCTTTCTCTTGCTCCTCTAATTCCTTGTGAGATTCTTGAACTTTAATTGAACTTTTGAGATTGAGTTAAGTTCTCCTCCTACAGCTTACCCCCTAATGCGTCGAAAGCCATAGCGTCGCGAATACTTCATCAATCAACGTGTTTCGAATTGGGAACGGTAGCTGAGATTAAGAGCTACAACATATCCAAGTTTCGCGACATTCCAACGGCTAGTTTTTCGTCGACGTCGTTTCTTGTGAAGACGACTTTTCTGTCCAGAATTTCGGATTTATATTTTGAGTAATTCTAGCTCCTAAGTTCACCTAGACTCCGTCCTTAATCCTAACAAGTGGTATCAGAGCCATATTAAGGACATTGAGAGGAGTCTACAGAAGTGTGAAGACCCTTCTAGACCCACCATGGCCTGTGGGTGTGCCTAAGTGGTGTTCTAAAGGTTGGATGTGTCTTCCGCTAAGGGGAAACTCTGCCGAAATTTCGTGGACGCCGATACTTGTGAAAATATCGAGGGAGCTGAGTGTGGACAGCAAAAGGGAGCTGAAATTCGTCATTTCTCAAGGAGAAGATGAATGAGAGAGGAGGAGATGCTAATGGAAGAGGAGCTGTAGCTGAGAAGGCAAGTGAGCCGCCGCCATCAAAAGTTGAAGCTTTGGATGGCTCCAACTATGAGGAATGGAGCGGACGGATGAGGAGTGCCTTCAAACGCTACAAGCTACTGAAGATTGCTGTTGGGGAAGAGAAGATGCCGGAAGAAGGCGAAGCACGTGAACGGTGGATTGAGAAAAGCGCGGTGCTTTTCGACCTCATCCTTCAATCGGTCAACAAGGAGATGTTCGAACACATCAAGGATCTTGTGGAGGCGGATGATTCGGGTCCAAGGGCGTGGAAACTACTACGCGATGTGATTCAGCCCAACACTCTCCCGATGGTGATCGTGCTCGAGAAGGAACTTGCTGCCATCTCCATGCGACCAGGGGACGATGTGAAGCCGGTCCTTGACAAGATCAAGGACACCTATGCAAGGATGGCAGCAGCGGGCAGCAGTGTATCTCAGCTGCAGCAGTGCACCAAGATCATCTCGGTGTTGGACAACTCTTGGGACAACCTCATCCCCACCCTCAACTCTCAGCAAGATCAATGGACACCTGAGTGGCTAAGGCAGCAGATTCTGCAGGAGGACTTCCGCAGACGCCATGTGGGAGGCGGTGCTGCCACTAAGACTGCTGAGGGGTATGGAGCTGCAGGGCGCGGCAGAGGAAGAGGGGGTTGGAGAGGCCGAGGCCGTGGGAGAAGCTTTGGCAGAGGTAGAGGCCGAGGTGACTATAATGAGGGGCATGGGAGCTCCTGTGGCAGGGGGAGTACCAGAATGGAGGGCACCTGCTGGTACTGCAAGAAGGTCGGGCATCCTTGGTTCAAGTGCTTCAGCAGGCCGGAGGGATGGTCACCTCCAGGCATGAAGCCGCCAAGTGGTGAACGCGCACAAGGTGGCGCTGTGCAAGGCTCAGGTGCACAAGGTAACGCCTATCCTGGGATGTATCTCATGGTTGAGGATGTGCATGGGCATGAGGGTGATGTGGGATCTGTGGGAAAGGTTGTGATGCACCCTCTCACGCACTGGGTGATTGATTCGGGTTGCACCAGTCACATAACTCCACGGGCAGATTTGCTTGATGAGGTAAAACCCCCTGGGAAGATTAAGTATGTGGCAGCAGCGTCAGGTGCTTTGCTCCCCGTGATTGGTGTTGGGAATGCCAAGGTTAAGGGAGCTAATGGGGAGCTTGTGGGGCTTGGGAATGTTCTGCTGGTTAAAGGCTTGTCTGCTAACCTTCTCTCTGTGCGGCGACTGCAGAAGAGTAAGGCCGAAGTGATCTTTGGACCAACCAGCTGCCGTGCTAAGCTTGGGAAGAAGGTGCTGTGGAGTCTGGAAGAGGAGACCAGCTGCATCAAGGACCTGTGGCAGCTGCCCATCATCCCTTGGAATGGGAAGACTCCAACAGCAGCAACGGCAGCAGCGGCAAAGGTAACAGCAGGAGGAGATGCAACTGCACCAACTGATGGGGTCCTGGAAGCAGTCAAGAAAGTGCAGAAGCAGCAGACACATGGTGAGGTGCTTGCTGGTGTGGATGCGAGTGCGGCATGGGCTAAGGCTTCATCAAGGAGTGGAGAGGCCGATTGGGAGACATGGCATGAGAGGTTGTGTCATGTGAACTTCCCTATGCTGCAGAAGTTGGTGAAGAATGGGAGCCTGAAGGGCTTGGAGGTGAAAGGGGAAGTGAAGGAGATTGGGAGCTGCCCTACATGCTTGGAGACCAAGTTCTCCAAGTTCCCCTTCAACAGTGCAACAGGACCAGCCAAGACCCCACTTGCACTTGTGCACATGGATGTGGTGGGGCCCACAAGAGCCCCTTCCCTCTCAGGCAACCGCTATTTCTTGACAATTGTGGATGACCACACTCGGGCAGTGTGGGTTTACCCTTTGAACAGCAAGGGGGGGGTGGCAGCGGCTGTCCTTAAGGAGTGGATGCCTAGAGCTCAGAGGGAATGCGGACACAAGGTGAAGGTGATCCGCAGTGACAATGGTGGGGAGTTCATTGGAGCTGATTTTGAGGGGGAGTTGAAGAGGAAGGGGATCCAGCATCAACTGACAGTGCCCTACAATCCGCAGCAGAATGGCGTGGCTGAGAGGTTCAACAGGACCCTGCAGGAGGGGGCACGCACTCTCCTTGGGCGTGCAGGGCTGCCTGATCCGTTTTGGGTGTCTGCACTGAGGCAGGTCGCCCTTGTGAAGAATAGGGTGCTGGCTACAGTTGGGGATAAGGAGTGGATCCCATATACCAAGTGGTATGGGAGTGCTCCAGCTGTGAATATGCTGAGGGCATTTGGGTGCATGGTAGTGTTTCATGTGCCTAAGGAGAAAAGAGGGAAGTTGGAGGCTTCTGGAAGATGGGGTGTGCACTTGGGGATTGCAAAGGATCACAAGGGATGGCTGCTATGGGACTTGACCACCCAGAAGCTGACAGTGTCAAGGGATGTGAAGTTTCTTGAGTCCCTGTACTACAAGGAATGGAAGCAGCAGTAACAGAAGCTTCCATCTACACCACTCATTGTGGAGGCAGATGAGTTGCAGCAGCCTTCAAGGCAGGTGGAGGTTGCAGTGTCTGAGGAGGAGATGTCTAGGGTGACTGAAGAAGGGGGAGCAGCTGAAGTGGAGCAGCAGCAGCAGCAACATGAGTCTCCACTTCGAGTTCCACACCCGCCTGAGCGACCTAGGAGGGATGTGCGCCCTCCGGTGAGGCTGACCTATGGGGGAAGAGGCAAGTCGAATGTGGTGCAGGCTGGGAGTGTGTTTGAGCAGATTGAGGAAGATGAGATTGCATTGTGCTATTGGGCTGCAATTCCTCAGCCTAAGGTACTGACGCTAGCTTCAACTCAGTAAAAGCGGATGGCACCAGCATTGGGGGTTATGTGTGCTTGCTAGGAGGTGGTGCTGTGAGCTGGCGCAGCAAGAAGCAAAATGAGGTGGGATTGTCCTCATGTGAGACTGAGTACATGGCCTTACACCATGGGGCCAAGGAAGTGGTGTGGCTGAGGAGCTTGTTAGAGGAGTTGGGAGTTGGTCAGTAGGAGCCGACAGTTGTGTTCTGTGACAATGAGTCTGCTGTGAAGCTCGCCAAGAATGCTTGTCTGCATGGGCTGACAAAACACATAAGGCCTAAGTGGCACTGGGTGAGGAGACTCCTTGATAAGGAGGTGCGGCTGGAGATAGTGAAGACCCATCAGCAGGCAGCAGATATTTTCACCAAGCGTCTGGCGGAGGCGGATCATTGGAAGGGCATGAAGCTTGCTGGGATGAGTGTGCATTGAGTATGCATGCTTGAGATGTTGGTATGGTGGTTGATGGTTGGCAGCCAGAGGGGGAGATTGTTGTGTGATGTCATCATATGCTATCACATTCTGTCTGCCTCCCATCTCTTGTTTCAATTCGCATGTGTGGTTTGAACGTGTGAAAGAATTTGTGTGGTGTGTTCTGGAGTTTGGGAATGTGTTTTTGCGTTATTTTTGTTTGAGCAGGTATTTGTGATGATAGATCTTGAGAAGATCTTTCCGACGCAACAAGAATCGCTTCACTCGTAGCAAGAACGCGAAAGCTATGAAGATTCAAAGTTCATGAGCTTGCGTTACAATTGCGGCGGTTACAAAGTGAAGTTGTGGGGTGACTCTATATGGAGTTGGGACCTTTGGGGTTGGGGAAATTTGTCACTCTACTGTAACAGCTGCAAATTGGTTGGGAACAACCAAGCTAGGTTGGCAAGGGTGGCCAACTTGGATGGATTGGTTGGGAAGGGACAAATGTCAAAGTTGGGGTTCCTATAGGGAGGGAATCTTTGTGCTTATGGGGTTTCCTTGGTTGGGGACTCTCTTGGGACCTTCCCTCTCATCCCTCTCTTCTATCCCAACCTTTCTCTTGCTCCTCTAATTCCTTGTGAGATTCTTGAACTTTAATTGAACTTTTGAGATTGAGTTAAGTTCTCCTCCTACAGCTTACCCCCTAATGCGTCGAAAGCCATAGCGTCGCGAATACTTCATCAATCAACGTGTTTCAAATTGGGAACGGTAGCTGAAATTAAGAGCTACAACATATCAAAGTTTCGCGACATTCCAACGGCTAGTTTTCCGTCGACGTCGTTTCTTGTGAAGACGACTTTTCTGTCCAGAATTTCGGATTTATATTTTGAGTAATTCTAGCTCCTAAGTTCACCTAGACTCCGTCCTTAATACTAACACTGTGCCAGCACAGCATGGGGTGGCGAAATCAACGGCACATTTTGTCGATGCCTTCTCACGACCGGCCAGCGCACGGAATCACACATTCTGGATGGTCGTGAGAGGCATTTCATGGGCGACATGGACGAGGGAGTCGCCCACGTCCCTGCCTTCCCCTCCAACCCACTCTTGAAGTGGGTCTACCCCGCTCCGTCCTCTCATTTTCAGTTTCGACTCCAGGATGCCTTCAAGACAGCCCCTGCAAGGGCTGTCTAAGGCATCCTCTAGCTCCGTCTCTGTAACGTCCCCCCGCCATGGCCTCAGGCTCTGGCTTGTCTCGCCTTCTGACTCGAAAGGGCCCTTATGGCCAGCAGACGTTTTTACTTCGTCGGTCCTTTGCCGACGGCGATGCCGCAGCGACAGACTCTACAAGCGTCGATGCTGCTGCGACAGATTCTGCAAGCGGCGACGCCGCTGCAACAGATTCTGCAAGCGGCGATGCCGCTGCGACAGATTCTGCAAGCGGCGACGCCGCTGCGACAGATTCTGCAAGCGGCGACGCCACTACGACGGAAGGCCGTCGTCCCCTGCCGCGCGTCAGCGTGCCGAGTTTCCCGGAGCCCATTCGACGACCCCGTGGTCCTACCTTGAATCACGATGTCCATGCCCCCGCATCTCGAAGCAGGATGACAAAGCGGAAGCGCCGCTCGTACTCTGCCTCGGAGAAGTTGTACTGGCTTTCCATGTTCGATGCTCAACCCGACCTCTCTGTGCGTGGACTCGCAAAGCTTGCAGGTGTCCAGCCGGTGTCGATTCGGGAGTGGAAGAATGCTCGCGAACGCCTCCGTGTCGCCGCCGGCTGCCGCAAACGCCTCGTCGGTGCCGGACGTCCCGCGAAGTACCCGACGATGGAGAGCGCCCTCTACCGACAGTTCCTGAGGCACCGCGGGAGGGGGCTTGCCGTCTCCGTCAAGCTGCTGCAGAAGTGGAGTCGCTCGTACATGCGCGTACATCATCCCAACGTCGACTGGAGAGCGTCGAGTCGCTGGACGTTCAGATTCCGCGCGCGCTGGGGCCTTACGCGTCGGGTAAAGACGAAGATGGGGCAAAAGCTCGCCGACGGTAAACTGCCGTCCCATCCTTGTTATTGATTCCCTTGCCGCGACTTTCAATATTTGATTCTTTTGATTGTCTTGCTTATCGCGTGTTCATGCCTGAATTTGTTCTCTGACTGTTTTGTTCTATGCAGACATGAGGACGAAGATCGAGAAATTCTGGGAGTTTGTCAAACAGATGCGGATTCTCAACCGGTACAACCTCGACCACATCGTGAACGCCGACCAAACCCCCCTCTTCATCGAAATGCCCCAGGAGAGGACGTTGGAGCACAGAGGCTCCCGTACGGTGCATGTGAGGACGGCCGGCTATGAAAAGGAGCGGCTCACCGTCATGTTGGCAGTCACCGCGTCGGGATTGAAGCTCCTGCCGTATGTCATCTTCAAGCGGAAGACGCTGCCAAAGATTCAGGTTCCCCCGGGTAAGAATCGCCTTTGCTTTTCGCTCTGTGCATAGTGTACACCGATGCATACCCTCTGACTGTTGTTGTGGCTTGTGATTGTATCCAGGTGTCATCATCCGAGCCCAGCCGAAGGGCTGGATGGACGAGAAGCTTGTCCAGGACTGGACTACTCAAGTCCTGAACCCGTTCTTGCGCCCGCTGCGCGAATCGGGGAATAGGCGCAAGGAGGCGCTCGTCATCCTGGACTCGTACAAGGGCCACCTCACGCAAGCAGTCGGGCAGACGATGAAGCTGTGCAAACTTACCCGCGCGGTCATCCCAGGTGGTTGCACGCCTCTCGTTCAACCGCTGGACGTCGCAGTGAACAAGAGCTTCAAGGCCGGCGTGCGCGGCGACTACGGCGCATGGTTTGAGCAGTTCGGCATCGACATGAAGACTGCGGCAGGTGAGCCCCTTCCTAGTCGCTTCCTTAGTAGTTTTTAGACTTCTTGCTTGTTGACGAATTCCACCGTGCCCGTTCCTAGTCGTCATCTTACCGTGCCCGTGTTCTTCTCCTCCCATTATGCTCCCATCCCATGTGCAGGAAATCTGAAGAAGCCCCCGGCTGAGCTCATCTTGAAATGGATTGCTCGGTCATGGGAGGCTGTGCCAGAGGAGCTCGTGCGTAGTTCATTCAAGACGTGCGGTATATCAAATGCGCTGGACGGCACCGAGGAGAACCTCGCTCTCCGCCACCTCCGCGGCAAGCCCGACCTCGAGGTGATGGATGATGTCCACGTCGAGGAGGGCGAGAGCGGCTACATCAACCCCCTCTACGACGCCTTCATCGATGTGGACGGGGACGTCGCCGACGACGAAGAGGCGGATGCGGCGTCGCTGGCGGCTGACGACATCGACTGTGCTGAAGCGGCAACCGAAGCAGCTGAGACGAGCGCAGACAATGCAGAGACTGCATCAGCAGCAGCAGCAAGTGTTGATGTGTGGCCGGCAGAAGGCATTGCAGAGGAGGATGACGACAACTGCTGGTGGGATGAGCTTGCAGATGGGAGCGACGTCGAGATGTGGCAGGCTGGTGATGAGGAGCCTGAGGAGGACGACTAGAGCAGTGGCAGAGGCATGAGTATCTGGCGTAGTGTAAGGATTTAAAGTGTAGTGGATAATTTAGGTTCTAGGCAGAGCCAATAGGTAGAATTCAAGCCCTAGGTGGTGCCACTAACTAGTTCTATGGTTAATTCTGTTGAGTAGTAACTACGTGTACTCTAGTTGTATTGCTAACGTCTAATTCAAGAAGTTGTATACAGGAAAACGTAGAAAAAAACGTTTTTTCATCTCGCGGGGGGGTGGTGAAATGTTTTCAAGGCCAAGGGTAGGGTGGTAACTAAATCCAGTTAAATTAAACACCCATACCCGCTCAAGCTACCCGGGGGAGCTTAATTCCGGCGGGTGTTTTATACGGGGGATTACGGTATATGACCACAGAGTAGCGTAGCCCTCTATATGGGCCTTATACAAAAGTCCTATTCATAAATTGATACGCTACGCTACACGTATCAATTAGTTTTCATTGGTGATATTCTCTGCCTTAGTATTGTCACTGCGTGGATCCCATCTATCTTCTCATGAGGCCACATACCGTATAATGACGGGAGATGACGGACCCAAGTGGGAATAACAAGGCTGCGAAATGGTTGGCGCCTAAAACTGGTGCATGTAAGTCCACGATTCAGTTCGTGGATCATGGTGCACTTCTCTGCTAGCCTACCATAATCTTACCGGGTCTGTATCTTGGCAATGTGGGTCTCTTAGTCAATGTCCTCGCAGACTGAGTGGCCATGCTGCTCCCTGTGCACGCCCGCGCTCGCGCTGCACCCTAGAAATCGCAGGATAGCTGTGTAACCTCTTGGCGCGGGTGCAGGTTTCCGGCCAGGTCGACCAAGTGTTAGCTCTGTATCCCTTGGAAGTTCAGGCTCCTGTTGTGCTGACAGTTGTTTTGGTGCCCACATTTGTCGCAGGCGCTTGGTGGTTGGTCGCAACCCGTCGCAGAGAATGGAGTGTTGGCGTCACAATTCACAAACCGATGGGCACGAGACCTTGTGCCGAGCCTGTTGTACTGGTTGGGCGCTTTGTTTTGTTTGCTGGGTGTGTGGTTGGGTTTTTTTCACGAGGGTTGGGCGAATTGGCTTGGGGTTCCCTAGAGCTGGCGAGGAAGTTGTACATTTCGTAGCTCTCAAATGCTCAACATTTGCCAAACCTAGACCCTGTGCTTTAAGGTCAGAATCCGCGTTCTTGTGTGCGGCTGCGTCAGACTGTCTGGCTTCAGTTTCGGCAGCGACGGACGCTGAAGCTTCCGATGCTGCAGCTTCGGTTGCTGAATTTTCAGACGCTGGAGCTTTCGATGCTGCAGCTTCTGATGCTGCAGCTTCTGACGCTGGAGCTTCCGATGCTGAAGCTTTGGACGCTGCAGATTCCAATGCTGAAGCTTCGGACATTGGAGCTTCCGAAGCTGCAGCTTCAGTTGCTGAAGCTTCGGACGTTGGAGCTTCCACTACTGCAGCTTCCGATGCTGAAGCTTCAGACGCTGGAGCTTTCGATGCTAAAAATCCGGTTGCTGAAGCGTCAGATTCCGCAGCATCAGATCCAATGGTGTCGGTTCCGACCGCTCTATCGTCATCAGGCGGCACCAAGGCAGTAGCTATACGATTAGCACTACCGCTGCTGCCGTCGCGGATCCCGCTCGGCATCGAAGAGGGGGAAGCAGAGATTGCAGAGGCGCGGATCACCAGATGCAGAGCTACCAAGCGGCGTGTCAGCAAAAGGGAAGGAATCAGAGAGGCAGAAGTGAGGATCACCTAGTGCATGCGACCAACGGGGCTCCACGTTGTGACGTCAGTATCATTTTGATTGCGAAACGTGACGACGATTCGGCGATGCGAGCGACAGAGACGGCGACGATGCGAGAGGAGGGCGGGCGCGGAGGCGGTACGAGAAATACTGTACATGATATTTGCTCTGGAATTGGCAGATCCGAGACGAAGCGAATACAGGTCATATTTCCTTAGCACTGGGGGGACGACACGGCAGATTTCCCTTTGAACGAATACTGGCCGTACGGTAGAGGCAACGTGGACTATGGGGTTTCCCCAGGAAATGGGCCGTTGTTTTTTGTGTACTATGCATGGGCGGCTTGACTGGCGTATGCAGCGACTGAGTAAACATCGCCACGTCGCAAGCCTCTCCACCTGTGTATCAACTCCGCATTTCAAGAGAATGTCAGAATTGATTCCGCAGGTGACAAACATGGACTGCAATAAAGCAACAAACAGAATTGATTCGACAAAGACAGCACTCGACACTAGACTAGACTCGAAATTAGACTCCGACCGAAAACCATGCTTGCGTTGACCGGCACTGCCCAACTCCGTGCAACACAGCACAACCCCCTCGCCGCTAAGGTCATAGGCAGAGCACAAGGCTTCTCGCGCCTCCACATACATGCTCTAAGACAGCACGTTGTAAGCCCCTCAGTGCACAATTGCACCACTCCGAACTGCAGTGCCATGGAAGTTCATCGCGCCAAACCCGAACTGCATAATTAATCGCCTAGTACCCCCGATAGGTAGCGGGCTGCGCGCCAAAGGTCATCCACTCGCCCGCGTCTGGATATCCGGTCATAACCGCAGTGGTTCCGCGGACATGACTGAGGTACTCTTCCTCCGCCACGCCGGGCGCATTGTTAGTGTCCAGGCGGGAGGGTGCGCGCTCCAGGCGATCAATAACTGCAGGTTCGCGGATGTCGAACAGCACTCGGAGATCACGCGGAGCCAAGCCAATGGACTTGGCGTAGCCGATTAGCATCTCTGTCGCCATGCGCGACAGATTGCGCCGGTTCCGCGCTGGGTCGTTCGGAGCCGCGGGGGGGGGGGAGGCGCGTTCGCCCACCAAGCATCCCGCGGGGCCGGGCCAAGCAGCTCTACCTCAAACGGATCCACCCAGCTCGGCTCGCTCGTCTCGTCGTCACGCTCGGCGGTGACGAAGCGAACGGCGGAAATCATATCGCCCGGGCCGAATGGCAGGGCACTCATGATCTGGTGCATTGGCTCGATCTCATGCTCTAGCTGGGGCTCCTGCTCTTCAGAAGTGGCGCCGAGGAGAGGTAGCAGCGGCTGCCAGCTGGCGGGCAGCATTCGCGTCCTTCAGAAGCACTTCTGGATGGTCGCGGTATCCAAGCCAAGGCACGAATCCAACACCCAGGTTACCACCTGCCACATCTCATGCTTCCACTTAAGAATGGCGGCGACGGTGACGCCAGGGATCGGCCACTGTGTGAGAATTGCCTGAAGCAACTCCACCGTATAACGTGCCTTCAGAGCGGCGATGAGGCCCTGGTCCTGAGGCTGAGTGAACGGGGTCGTGTTCGGCTGCAAGTACACGAGGCGCACTTGCGAGAGCGCGCACGTCCGAAACCCGCAGATGTCGGCTAACGTGGCGAGAGGGGATTGGAGCAAGTGACTCGACGCGTTGTCAAGCATGACGACAATGCAACGTCCTTCCGCCCTGCAGCATGCATTAATGTGCTCGAAGAACGCCGTGAAAACCTACACGGGGTGTATGGGATGGATGTGTTTTTAGCCGATTATTATTCTTGTCACACGCCACATTTTGCATCGGACAGATTTCGGCACGGTGCATGCAAGCGATGGAAAGCAAGGCATTTACCTCTGCCGTTATCCATCCGGAGGTGTTCGCGCGTCAGTAGCAGTACTTTGCAGGGTCAAATTTTCTGCTTTGCGAAGCAACGGGGCCGCTCGAACTTATGAATGATGAGCGGCTTGAAAATCTCCGAGCCGTCCGCATTCACCAACAGCGCGACAGTGAGCCGGTCCTTGCAGGCCTTCTTGCCCGGGGTAGGGTCGATGCAGAATGTGTGGTCAGGGAGGAGACTTTAGTAGACGCAGGTTCTTGGGGATCATGAAGCTGGTCGCACAGCCTCGGGAAATATAGTTGCGCGGTCAGAGCGGCACCCTCATCGGCAGACTTCGCCTCGCCGCTCATCTTACGCCACTTGAATCCCATTCGGCGCAATGCTTTCTGAACCCATCCAACAGAAGCTTTGAATTCGCTAGGCACGTTGCACTCGGGTGCTAGCAGTGTTGCGCGCTTTAGAGCCGTCGAGACTGGCAATCCAACACCATTCGTGCTTTTCAACCAGATCTTGAGTCGGGCTTCAAATAAAGGCCAATGTGGGTTACGCACCCGTTTGAACTTGGCGTGTTCAGGTCCGATGGCCCGCCACTTCTGTTTTGTTTGCAGAATTCGGCCGACTGTGCTGCAATCCGGCCACAGGCCGTATCTGGTATGGCACCATCGCCAAATGTCTTCGAGCCGCAAGGTCGGATTCTTCTTGGCGTACTGGCAGATTGCAACCTTCTGCCCGACGGCGAGCACAATTCGGTGTACATGTGTCATGTGGACGACCTCGTGGGTGTGGCGGGCTCGTTCCTTGTGTCATAAAGAGGTCGCTGTTTGGGGCATATAAATGACCCCGGGGTGTCTGCACTGCTGGCGGGGGAAACGATGTTGGGACCCCTCTGTTGCTTCCTCGGCGCGCTCGTATTGGCTGTGGGTGGACGGATATTCCTGGGGCAACGGCGATGGATTCCGTTGGCGTTGCTGGCCTAATTCTACTGGACCGTCAGCGAGCTGGTCGTATCTAGCGTATCATGTGGATTTTTGCCTCGACATTGGTTGGCGAGCCTGACACATCTGGATTTTTAGAGGCTCGTCGACCACTAGGGGTGGTCGATCTGAAAACACAAGAGAACCACGGTTGGGAGAGGACGAAGAAACGTGGGTTGGAAGAGACGCGTAGGGACGAGGGTTGAAAGAGGCACGGTGGAACGAGGGTTGGAAGAGGCACAAAGGAACGAGGGTTGGAAGAGGCAGGGAGGAACGAGGTTTGGAAGAAGCATGCAGGAAGGAGGGTTGGAAGAAGTAGGGAGGAACGAGGGCTGGTAGAATCTTGGAGGAACGATGGTTTGAAGAGGCACGGAGGAACGAGGGTTGGAAGAGGCACGGAGGAACGAGGGGTGGGAAAGGCACGCAGGAACGAGGGTTGTGAGAGGCACGTAGGAA